AGACAGCAAACTACACAACCACCAGACAAGATGGAGCATCTCTCTTCTCTAGAAGTGCAAGGTGCTATGGAACCAAGACCCTGAGCCGGTGAGATTTGAACAGCCGAACTGCAGAACTGCAGTCAGCTGAAGTAGCCTGCATTGCTGCATTTAACCACTGCGCCACCTCGGCCCTATGGATCTGGGCCCTCCAGAAGGCAACCTCTCTCTTGCCTGGCCAGTCCTGGGGAGTAACGCTCTGCTTTCTCTACGCAGAAACGACCCCCGCCCAGCCTGGCGGATCTAGAGGAAGCTATCGCGATCCCCCTGCCAAGACCAGCATCTGGGGGCAGCCAAGGCCCCCCCCCCTCCGGGAAGCCGCCGGAGCCCCTGTGCTCTCACCTGCAGCTTAGCTTGAACTGCTTAATGATGTTGCTGATTTTCTCAAACCGGTGAATGTCCCGCTGCTCTTTGCACTGGTAGTGCGAAATGACCTGGAAGAGGAGGCACGAAAACATCAGGCCGGCTTCAAGCCAAGCCAGAATTCAGCCGAGGACCAAACTCCCGGCCACGAGAAAGATGGAAGCATCTGAAGCATGCTGGGAACCCAAGGGCCTTCCCCAGATGCAATCCATAGGCGCCCACCGTCATGGCAGAGCCGCTGAGGAGAAAAGGATGGGTGGGTGGGTGGATTCCTCACAAAAGCCCAGATGGCAGAGCCTTGCCCCCCCAGTAGAGATGTGCCTCGGGGTTCTCCAAGTGGCCGCAGAGAACCAGAGTTCAAGCTATGCCCACCACAAAGACTCTCCCATGTGCGGGACAAACGGAATGGAGGGAGGCCTATTCTCACAAGGGTACATCCTGACTTCTTCCCCTTTTGGAAATTAGAGCAAGGCACGTGGGAGGCTTGGTGGGGGGGACGACCCCTCCCCGGCATGTGGCCATGGCAGGCTCCATCCCTGGAGACTAGCCCGTCTTCCTGCTCACCAAAAACGTGGCTCTTTCGAACAGAAGAACTTCATCAGCTTCAATGATCTGAGCAAAATTCCTGAGGTTGGTTTCCAGCTGCTGGACATTGGGGATGAGCTGGTAGACTATGCTGGACCATGCCTGCGAAAGAGGAAGCCCGGGAGGCAGCTGAACTCTTGGCCCATCCTGAGACGGACCCAAGGTGAAGGGGGCAGCAGGACCCTCCTCTCGGCAGTCAGCAAATGGAGGGAAGCACCCTTTCGAGGGAGGGACTCGCCTCCAGACAAAACAGCCCAATTTGCATCTCTGCTACCCCACAGCCCGGAGGGATTTGAGAAGCTACGGAGAGGGCAGAAGTGGGAGCTGCTGTAAAAACTTCCACCTGCTGCTCATAAAACTGAAGACTGCGTTTTTAGGGTCTATAGCTAAGCAAGGATCTGAACCCAGGGCTTCCTCCAGCTCGTGGCTTATATAACCCGGTCCACAGTTAGCCACCATGGTGGCACAGAAGCACAAACCTTGTACAGAGTCTCATCCCAGATGGATGTTCGGAAGCAAGAGCATTCCAAAGGGCGGGACAACCGCTTTAAATCCTCTTCCCGTTCCTTGAAAATCTAACAAAATCAAACGAAAGAAGACAAATTTCCCTAATCAATACAAGCCCCACCCATGAAGCAGAGAGAGAGAGAGTGAGAAAGAGAAAGAGAAAGAGAGGGAGGGAGGGAGAGAGAGAGAGAAGTCCACTCATTCCAGCAAGGCCAGCACTGCTGGGAAAAAGGGCACAAGCTGGGAAGGCCTCAGCAAGAAATCTACGAAGAAAAAGGGGGGAAAAATCCCCAGAGCTGATCAAAAATGGGGTCCTGCCTATTCGCCCACAGCTGCCTGCCAGGCTCGGGCGGTTGTGCCATTTGCAGACACACCCCCTTGGATGTTGGTAGAGGCAGCAAGACGTTTCGGCAAAAGGGAAATGGAAAAGCAGCCGTTTCTGAAAGAGGGAAGCTGAGGTGCTTTCGCAGCTGGAACTGCACTAACCCCACCAGGTGCAGCAAGGCAGACCCAGAACGAAAGCCAGGAGGGAGGGAAGGTGGCCTTGTTACCTCCCAAGGGCTACAGTTCCTGCCCTCTGACCGAAAACGGAGCCCCCCCCCCGTTGTATCCGGAGGCCGACCCTCACCAGGTCGCGCTGGTCCTCCTGTACTAAATCCATTTTGTGGACCAGGCAGAAAATCTTGGCGTCGGGAGAATTCTGCAGAATGGCCTCCAGGCAGGATTGGTAGTAGTGCATGTCTTTCTCCAGCTCTCTGCTCTCCACATCGAAGACGTAAATCAGGACCTCCACGTTGCGAAAGATGTTGTCGCGCTGACTGGTGAAGTAGTTCTCCATGAAGGTGTCCTGGCTGGAAGGAGAAGAGGCCCCACCCACTCAACAGCCAGGAAAGGGAAGAGAGGGGACAGGAGGAGCAAGGGATTCCTTTCCCATTTCCAGAGAAGAGGGCTGGTTCTGCTGTGATCTCCCAGCCGAGAGTCCCGGGGAGACCCCTGCTCAACTCCCCGCAGCTGAGGGTCCTGGGGAGACCCCTGCTCAACTCCCCGGAGTCCTTAATTGGGCTCTCCAGGGGCCCTCGGCACCCCTCCTCCTGGAAGTAGCCAAAGGGTAGGCAAAATATTTACCCGCCGCAGTCCCACAGGTTTAATACCAGGTTGCCCAGAAACCGAACATGCGAATGCTCCACGTCAACTGGGGGGAAAAAGGAGGAGAGAGATGAATGGAAGGGAAGATCCCCAGCAGCGTCAGAAGGGAATCTGGGCCACAGCAGAGAAAAGGGGGTTTGCTTAATCATGGTCTGTTGAAGCAGTGTTTCTCAACCTTGGCGACTTTAAGTCCTGTGGACTTCAACTCCCAGAATCCCCCAGCCAGCATAGCTGGCTGGGGGAATTCTGGGAGTTGAAGTCCACAGGACTTAAAGTCGCCAAGGTTGAGAAACACTGTGTTGAAGGGCTTGAGCCTACGCCAAG